TATACATGGAGATCATATCCCCCCTTATGTATTATACATGGAGATCATATCCCCCCCCAATCATGTATTATATATGGAGATCATATCTCTCCTTATGTATTATACATGGAGATCATATACCCTTATGTATTATACATGGAGATCATATCCCCCCTTATGTATTATACATGGAGATCATATCCCCCCTTATGTATTATACATGGAGATCATATCCCCCCTTATGTATTATACATGGAGATCATATCCCCCTTATGTATTATACATGGAGATCATATCCCCCCCCTCATGTATTAATATATGGAGATCATATCCCTCCTTATGTATTATACATGGAGATCATATCCACCCTTATGTAATATACATGGAGATCATATACCCCTTATGTATTATACATGGAGATCATATCCCCCCTTATGTATTATACATGGTGATCATATCCCCCTTATGTATTATACATGGAGATCATATCTCCCCTTATGTATTATACATGGAGATCATATCCCCCCCTTATGTATTATACATGGAGATCATATCCCCCCTTATGTATTATACATGGAGATCATATCCCCCCCTTATGTATTATACATGGTGATCATATCCGCCCTTATGTATTATACATGGAGATCATATCTCCCTTATGTATTATACATGGAGATCATATCCCCCCTTTATGTATTATACATGGAGATCATATCCCCCCCTTATGTATTATACATGGAGATCATATCCCCCCCCCCCTTATGTATTATACATGGAGATCATATCCCCCTTATGTATTATACATGGAGATCATATCCCCCTTATGTATTATACATGGTGATCATCTTATCCCCCCTTATGTATTATACATGGAGATCATATCCCCCCTTATGTATTATACATGGTGATAATATCCCCCTTATGTATTATACATGGAGATCATATCCCCCTTATGTATTATACATGGTGATCATATCCCCCCTTTATGTATTATACATGGAGATCATATCCCCCTTATGTATTATACATGGAGATCATATCCCCCCTTATGTATTATACATGGAGATCATACCCCCCCCCCCTTATGTATTATACATGGAGATCATATCCCCCCCTTATGTATTATACATGGAGATCATATCCCCCCTTATGTATTATAACATGGAGATCACATCCCCCCTTATGTATTATACATGGAGATCATATCCCCCTTAATATCCTCTTTCTCAGTAGAGAATACATTCAGTTCCTCTAACCTTTCCTCATAGCTGATCTCCTCCATGCCTCTTATCAGTTTGGTTGCCCCTTCTCTGTACTTTCTCCAGTTCCCCAATGTTCTTTTTGTGAATTGGATCCCAAAACTGAACTACATATTCCAGATGAGGTGATCTGTGTGGTAGTAGATGTGTGATAGATTGTGGTAGATTTTATGATAGTTCTGACTTTTAGCCACTGTCCCATCCTTAATCCATAGCAAAATTTGTTTGTTTGTTTTTTAATTTTGAAAGGAAAAAGAAAGAAAAGGAGACCAAGATCACATGAGGTGAGTACCTAAATCTCCCCCCACTGACTACTCATACCACCGCACCGCCAATGCTGAAAGTACAAAATATAAGTTTGGCATAGACAGGTAAGGCCTATTCTCCCTGAAGTCAAACTGTCCTGTTGTCGTAAATGTTTATACCGTTGTATCATCTGAACTCCTATTGAACAATATGCCTCGTATTTCTGCATTGGAGTCTGTTCTCGCTAATACAAGTGTCCTGCCACTGGCCAGTTTTTCCACAGCTGTATCTGAGAGTTTAATAGAAACTGGCCAGCAGTCTTATAGTGATGTAGGTTCTCATCGGAAGAGTTCCCTGAATGGTGGACCAAAAGTTCAGTTTGGTGAGTCACTTAAGTAATTTCATGTGTTTTGGGTTCAGTCCCCCCATGTACAAATAATTACCAAAATACTCATCTGATCCACTTACTTCTTTCCTTACTATAGGCTTCTAGTTGTAAAGAAAGGTTAAAGACTGCAAAGAAAAACAAATACATTGTTATCATTATATAGGAATATTCATTTCATTGTCAACAATATGGACTGTCAACCACAGGCTGACTCCTTCTCCTCCTTAGCACTGCTTAGCAGCCTATCACAATGACCATTTCACAGGATGACACACACCCCTTTTTCTGCATTCAGTATTCAGCTGGCTCCTTCTCCTCCTCCCTAGCATTGCTTAGCAGCCAATCTCTTTTTCTGCACTCAGTCACTGGCAGGCTCCTTCTCCTCCTCCCTAGCATTGCTTAGCAGCCAATCCCTTTTTTCTGCACTCAGTCACTGGCAGGCTCCTTCTCCTCCTCCCTAGCATTGCTTAGATACCAATCCCTTTTTCTGCACTCAGTCTCTGGCAGGCTCCTTCTCCTCCTCCCTAGCATTGCTTAGTAGCCAATCCAAATGAACATGTCACTGGAAGACACACCCCTTTTTCCATGTTTAGCCGCTGGCAATGTATCATGGAGACCCAAGAATACAATACACTGGGCATTATAGTACAGGGCTGCTTTCACACTGATCTGCTGTGGTTTCCCCACATCCTGGGTGCAGTGCAGTCTACCTTCAGCTTTCCTGCGGGTTAGCTGCCCTTTGCTATAGACTTCTAGTATATCCTGCGGGTTTGGTGCACTTTCTGAAAGCATAACAAAACTCTAGGCATTAGAATGCTCTTTCAGAAAGTGCGCCACACCTGCAGGATATAGTAGAAGTGCAAAGCGCAGCCAACCCAGGAAAATCGCAGATGCACTGCGCTGCACCCATGTGTGAAAGCAGTCTTATAGAGTAGTAGCATAGTAAGGGCTCATTTACATTTTGCAGTTTGGGGGGATAAAACCCCATAGTTAAGATGTGTTCTTACCACCCCTGCCCTAGCCACAACCCCTTTAGCTGCAGTGGCCAAGGGTGTACACATGTCACAGCCACAGCAGGAGCTATACGCCCTGTCACGGTCGGTGAGTGTAGCACCTGCCTAGCATGACCCATTCAAGTGGTTGAGGCCGCTCTGCAAGTGCCCGGCAACATTGTGCAGTACAGCAAAGAATCAGTTGAAGCAGGTAGTGTTGTTTTGCTTTCTCACTCTCTGCTTTAACCCCTTGGACCCCGCAGAAGCATACAGTTGTGGGGTGCTAGGCCCCATTTACTTGAATTAGTCATGATTGGCAGGTGATAGTACCCACCAAAAGCAACAGGGGGGTCAATTCCTGCTGCGGCATGCGTACACATTTGGCTGCTACCTCAGCAAATAAATGGGGTAGGGATTGGGGCAGCAAAACCATGACTCAACCATAGGGTATTACCACCCCCCCCAACTTTACGTGTGAAAGAGCCATAAGGGTACCGATGCTGAATGCAATTAAGGGTTCAGCAGAGACGGCTGTTCCTCTAAAAAGCGATCCAAGTGTATTTGACAGGTGGCAAGATGGAGATATGTTGCCTCCTCATCACCTGGTTTAAACTCATGATTGTCATTGAATACATGCAATAACGACACAGTAGAACGGAAATTAGGGGTTTAAATAAGGCGTGGGGAGGCGACACTGTGTCCAATGATCTTCGACTTCTCCCATGTTGTTCAGGTAGATCTCCACTTCTTTAAGGTGCCTCCCTCTGGTCTTCAGTATCCTAATTCATGTAGTAAAGTCCTGGTCTGTGCTCTTTGTCTCTAGTAAGTTTGGGCTCAGCCTTTCTCATTAAATTGGTCAATGTTGCCCTTTAAGCCACAAGAAAAGACTGTCTTCCTGTTGTACAATATTTTTTTTTTTTTTTTTTGCATTGGTTCATGTCTCCCCATGGCAGTGCCCAGCTGCTCATAGTATTATTGCACAGAGGTTAGCATATTAACCCTAAAAATTGCAGAATGTAACCACTTGGCAACTGTGTTATAGGCGAATGATGGCTACAGTGCAGTTGTCAAGTTCATATGCGCCCTCCCGGAACACGCCCTCCAGTGTGCCCCCAGGGGCGTGTACCCAGCGATCCCCTTGATTGCTGTGTCCTATGGATACAGCTGATCATGTGATGTGGTAAAAGGCCAATCACAGCGGCCTTTTACCACATGATCATCTGTGCAAAACTGAAGGGGAGGAGCCGGTACATCTGTGCATGACTGAAGGGGAGGAGCTTGTTACGGAGCTGGCCCTCCCCTCATCCTCTAGGCTTGCTGCCTGCCACCCCCCCACTCCTCAGCAGCCCCTCACTCTTCTGTCCCATCCATGCTGGGACTTCTAGTCCTCCATGTCCCTGACACAGGCAGCCCTCAGCAGCCCCTCACTCCCCTTGCCTGCAGTCTGGCCCTTGCTGAAGGAATCCACACACAGGCCCCTTCCTCCCTTCCCCCTCATGCACATCTTCCCAGGCTCCCTGGACGGGTCTGGAGACCTTGGAGACAGGGCCCGTTGCCATGGTAACCCGACAGGAAGTCTCGGGTTACCACAAGGCGCCCAGCTCTATACTTAAGGGTGAGCAGGAAACCCCCCCTGCTGTTCTCCTGGCTACGTGTGTGAGGGAAGACTGTGCTGAGTGCCAGCTTCTCTCATATGACCATCCCCCGTCCTCCTTCTCATCTCCCTGGCTGACTGGACTGTCTGCTGCTGGATCCTCTCCGGTGTGGGGTGAACTCTCTCTGCTGCCTGAAACCCCTTCCCTGGCTGGACTTACCTCATGTTCCCTGTGAGCCTGCGGGCTGGACATCTTCCCTGGCTGGACTTACCTCTTGTTCCCTGTGAGCCTGCGGACTGGACAATTTCCCTGCCTGGAGCTGCATGTGTGGATTAACCCTGTATTGCCGGTGTGGACTGTAGCCCTCTGTGTCCGGCTCCCCGCATCCAGTAATTGGACTAACCCCGTGCTGCCCAAAAGACTGAGCCCAATTCTCCCTAGAAACCCAAAGTCCCACAAAGCCACTCTGCCCTTGCCTTACTGAACCCTGTGGATTACCATACCCCAGTTGTTCCATATTGCCTTCCAAAGAACTTTACTGTGTTACTGTGTCTGGTGTGGATCTGTGGACTAAAGGAACTGTTGTCTGTGCCCCAAAAACCTCCCTAATAAAAGCCCGCGCGTTGGGTTCTGTGTGCAAGACAAATACACCTGTGCAAGATGGAAAGGGAGGAGCCAGTACACCTGTGCATGACTGAAAGGGAGGAGCCAGTACACCTGTACAAGACTGAAGGGGAAGAACCTGTACACCTGTGCAAGACTGAAGGGGAGGAGCTGGTACACCTGTGCAAGACTGAAGGGAAGGAGCTGGTACACCTGTACAAGACTGAAGAGGAGGAACCAGTACGCCTGTGCAAGACTGAAGGGGAGGAGCCGGTACCCCTGTACAAGACAGAGGGGGAGGAGCCTGTGCACCTGTGCAAGACTTAAGGGGAGGAGCCGGTACACCTGTGCAAAACTGAAGGGGAGGAGTGCGTACAACTGTGCAAGACTGAAGGATGGACTGGAGTTGAGATTCTCTGCTATAAATCACTGCATGTATGGGCTGTATAAGAAGTCATTTGCAGACATAGTTGAATATGTATACTGGCCTATTAGCCACCTACCATTATCCTCCAGATGTGACTGTATCCCGGAGAAACTCTTATCTGGGGAGGAAACACAAAACATACGCAGCATTATGGATGCTCATCAGGAAGGGATTAATTCAAATTATTGAAACCATGTGCTGAGAAGGTTTTGTATGCTGAAAGTAATAGTGAACCCTCAGTGTTTTTTAGTTAACCTAATGGGAAGAATAAAATAAACATTCCCCAGTGAACTATTTGGAAAAACTATTATCCCAGCACTTGCAATTTACAACTTCCAATGCTGTTGGCTAATGCTGTCTCAGTGCTACTTCCCTGAACTTCCAGCCTTCACAGGAAAGGGTTAACAGTGGACAGTACAGTCTGGAACCAGGTGCGGTTCAGTAGCCTGCCACTAGGTGGCTCTGTGCCAGAATAGTGTCTGGTTACAGCAGGCAATGTTATCAGGCGTTAGGCCCCTTTTATGTAGAACCCTCCTGCAGTGATGTCATGGGTGGAAGCATCCGTATCCTGTATATTGTTTTCCAGCTGTATACCCTGATGGTTACTCATTTCATTATTTGTTTGAGGGGTTGTTTCAGTTTCCATTTCTTTGGTTATTGTAATAATACATACTGTATATTGTTGCAATAAATATCCCCTCTTCTACCCCGGTGTGTTGTAGAACGTGGTGCAGCTTGGAGAGTTGTAGGCTCTGGAAACAGGTGCCCTTAGAAAACTCTCCTTCAGCAGTAAGCGCTACATACTGTACATGCAAAGAGAACATAAATGATAATTATAACAGAGATACTCACAGGAAATGAAGAGGACGCTGGTGAGGATGACCACAGTAATGAAGGCCAATATTAGGAGGACCCCCAGGATCAGTACCACCCGATGATTTGTACGCCTGGCAGCCGGAATTGCTACAGAAAGGATAGAGAAAGAGCCTGCGTGTATCAGCCGGTACGGAAATCCTACAGAATTATTATCTCACATAAAGACATTTTGTATTCATCCCGGATCATCTGTGTGCCCCCCCTCCCCCCATTATAGAAATCTCTTATATTATATGACATTGATGTGATCATCTGCTGAATTATGGATCTTCCGCTACAACTGTATACATCTTCTGGATCTCATCCAATTATTTTGTATAATAATCTTCTACTATAACTATATATTTACACTACATTGCCAAAAGTATTAGTTGGCCAGCCTTTCCATGACCTTTAATGGCCCCCAGTCTTGGTCCGTAGGGTTCAATATTGAGTTGGCCCCGCCCTTTCCACACACATGACCTTTAATGGCCCCCCAGTCTTAGTCTGTAGGGTTCAATATTGAGTTGGCCCTGCCCTTTGCAGCTATAACAGCTTCAACTCTTCTGGGAAGGCCGTCCACAAGGTTTAGGAGGGTGTCTATGGGAAGGTTGGACCATTCTTCCAGAAGCACATTTATATCTATCTATCTATCTATCTATCTATCTATCTATCTATCTATCTATCTATTATCTATCTATCTATCTATCTATCTATCTATCTATCTATCTATCTATCTATCTATCTATCTATCTATCTATCTATCTATCTATCTATCTATCTATCTATCTATCTATTATCTATCTATCTATTATCTATCTGTCAGGAATGGACTGGCCAGCAATGGTGGGTATCACCTGCCTTATGAGCTGCAGTACCAGGGCTGGCCAGCGGGTGCTCCCAGCAATCAGAGACTCAACCTTGCAGCCAGCAAAACACCTGAAACTGCTTATGCTGGTGTATTTAAGGGATGGCCAGACCTGCAGACTCTGCCTTGGTGTATGTGTTTTCCTGGGCCCTGTATCTTGCATCCTGTTCCTGTTCCTGTTCCTGCATCCTGTCCCTGTCCCTGTCCCTGTTCCTGTCGCTGACCCTGCCTGATCTGATCTCTGCTGACTTCTCATGCTCTGACCCCGGCTCGTTCCTGACCATCCCTCTGCCTGACCCTCTGTACCTCGCTGTCTGCTACCTGTTGAACCTGGCTTGTGACCCCGACCATTCTCCACTTGCTCCCCCTGTACCTACCTGCCCGATTGATATTTGACCCGGCCTGCCTGACGACGCTTGCATTGTATGTACTGTTATCTGTGGGTGGTTGGTTTGGGTTGTTTGCACTGTGTTATGTTTTAGTATTGCACTGCGTTTATGTTTGTATTGTTAGTGTTAATAAATTATATTGTTTATAATATATCTGAAGTCTGCGTTTCCCTGCGTCAGTCACACACCTCTGGTCATACCCGGGAGCCTTGACACTATCTATCTATCTATCTATCTATCTATCTATCTATCTATTATCTATCTATCTATTATCTATCTATCTATCTATCTATCTATCTATTATCTATCTATCTATCTATCTATCTATCTATCTATCTATCTATCTATTAATCTATTATCTATCTATCTATCTATCTATCTATCTATCTATCTATTAATCTATTATCTATCTATCTATCTATTATCTATCTATCTATCTATCTATCTATCTATCTATCTATCTATCTATCTATCTATTATCTATCTATTATCTATTATCTATCTATCTATCTATCTATCTATCTATCTATCTATCTATCTATCTATCTATCTATTATCTATCTATTATCTATCTATCTATTAATCTATTATCTATCTATTATCTATCTATCTATCTATTATCTATCTATCTATCTATCTATCTATCTATCTATCTATCTATCTATTAATCTATTATCTATCTATCTATCTATCTATCTATCTATCTATCTATCTATCTATCTATTATCTATATATTTATCAAATTATCTATATCACATCTTATGTCATATATATGTATCATTATAGAATATACATTAGAATTAGGTGTGAAATTTCTACTGAAACACGGCGACCAATGAGATGCTGGCTATTATTATCCCTGTACAGATATAGTAAGAGTTGATATCTCATTGTATTAGTAGTAGACATGTGTCCTAAAAATGGAGACTCAGGTCCCCAGCTGACTTTAATGGATGAAAAGGAGACTCCTTGTTATAATAACTTACCTTTAGCTTTTTCTGTATTTTTCTTCCGTAAGTTGAAATCACTCATATTGATGTATGTATTGTCCTCACAAGATCGCCCTGTAGAGGAGCATAGACCTTAATGTAAGTATTGTAGATTCCAGGGAGGATATTCCGGCAATGTGATCGATATTATGGTGCATTGTATACTCTCCTCACAATATTCTTTCCAGTTTTGGGCTGTGTTGACAAATGTCTTACACGGATCAGCCCCTGTTGCAGTGTCTCACTATGTGACTTGTTACAATGTTGAAAAAAAAAAAGTCACAATGTACAGTCTGATCACTGGGGGAAGGAATACTAAGGAAATGCTTCCTCTCACCTGCAGCCTGCTGATGACATCTCAGCCTAGGCAAAGTCACTGACTGGAGTCCAAAATTGGATAAAATATACTATTGAAGTGTATTGTGCCATGCCAGGAATTCATTCATGGAGACTTGTAAAGTTACTGACAGATCCCCCATATTATTTCATCATTGATACATGCCATGGCATATGGACTCACCGAACAATGTAAATGTTCTTTATCACAGGAGACAGAGCAGCCATATTCATCCTTACACACAGCCACCTACACGTGAGTGGATACTGGGAAACAGACAGAAAGTCCCCTCCTATATTACCCCTCCCATACAGGAAGTCCCCTCCTATATTACCCTTCCCATACAGGAAGTCCCCTCCTATATAACCCCTCCCATACAGAAAGTTCCCTCCATATAACCCCTCCCATACAGAAAGTTCCCTCCATATAACCTCTCCCATGCAGGAAGTCCTATCCTTTATAACCCCTCCCATACAGGAAGTCCCCTCATATATAACCCCTCCCATACAGGAAGTCCCCTCATATATAACCCCTCCCATACAGAAAGTTCCCTCCATATAACCCCTCCCATACAGACATTTCCCTCCATATAATCTCTCCCATGCAGGAAGTCCCATCCTATATAACCCCTCCCATACAGGAAGTCCCCTCATATATAACCCCTCCCATACAGGAAGTCCCCTCATATATAACCCCTCCCATACAGGAAGTCCCCTCCTATATAACCCCCCCTCATACAGAAAGTTCCCTCCATATAACCCCTCCAATGCAGGATGTCCCCTCATATATAACCCCTCCCATACAGGAAGTCCCCTCATATATAACTCCTCCCATACAGGAAGTCCCCTCATATATAACCCCTCCCATACAGGACGTTCCCTCCTATATAACCCCTCCCATACAGGAAGTCCCCTCATATATAAAACCCCTCTCATACAGAAAGTTCCCTCCATATAACCTCTCCCATGCAGGAAGTTCCCTCCTATATAACCCCTCCCATACAGAAAGTTCCCTCTATACAACCCCTCCAATGCAGGAAATCCCCTTCTATATAACCCCTCCCATACAGAAAGTTCCCTCTATACAACCTCTCCCATGCAGGAAGTCCCCTCCTGTATAACTCCTCCCATACAGAAAATTCCCTCTATATAACCCCTCCCATGCAGTAAGTCCCCTCCTGTATAACCCCTCCCATACAGAAAGTTCCCTCTATATAACCCCTCCCATACAGAAAGTTCCCTCTATATAACCACTCCCATACAGAAAGTCCCCTCATATATAACCCCTCCCATACAGGAAGTCCCCTCATATATAAACGTCTCCCATACAGGACGTTCCCTCCTATATAACCCCTCCCATACAGGAAGTCCCCTCATATATAACCCCTCTCATACAGAAAGTTCCCTCCATATAACCTCTCCCATGCAGGAAGTTCCCTCCTATATAACCCCTCCCATACACAAAGTTCCCTCTATACAACCTCTCCCATGCAGGAA